ATGAAAGTGCTGGTTGGGTCTCACTTGAATCACGTCAAAATTAAACTTACTAGATACAGTACATTTAATAAAACTTTGCATTTTGAAGTCTGTAAAGTGCATTCGTTAAGGCGTGCTGTCTGCACCTTGCAAATATCTGTCCGTTTGCATTTAACTGCCTTTCATGAGCCTTTCTAACAATAAAAAGCTGCAACTGGGGTGCTGAATGTTATGCTTCAGCACTAGCATGAAATATTAGATTGACTGCCCAAACCGCGTAGCTGTCTCCCACTGCAGAATTAATCAACGCCAGGCACACAAGCCAGAAAGCTCCGAATGAGTCTGAAAAACAGGTCTGTAAGTAAAATGGAGATCAGTGCTCAAGAAGGTGGTACAGGAGGTGATCGTCAGGAAACTTTTGTCTGGGGTTTTGTCCAGCCTGTTCCAGCCTTGCCAGCACCTATATCACCCTACAACTCACAGCTGGCAGTCCAATGAAGCTCAGCAGTTGTGAGCTTGGCCAGTACCTGGATGGGAGACCTCCTGGGAAAGCTAAGGTTGCTTCTGGAAGAGGTATTAGTGGGGCCAGTAGGGGGCGCTCACCCTGTGGTCTGCATGGGTCTTGATGCCCCAGTATAGTGTTGGGGACACTATAATGAAAAAAAGGTGCCATCTTCTAGATAAGATGTAAAACTGAAGTCCTGACTTAACATAGCCATTAAAAATCTTCAGGGCATTTCTTGAGAACAGCAGTGGTGTTTCCCCAGTGCCCTGGTCAAATTTCCCCCTGGCCTTTACCAATCATGGCCTCCTAATAATCCCCATCTCTGAATTGGCTTTATCACTGTTCTCCCTACTGGTAGCTGGGGTGTGGTGAGCGTACTGGTGTACTTTGGCTGCCATTGCATCATCTAGATGGGGGCTACACATTGGTGGTGGTGGAGGGGAGTCCCCATTAACTATAACGTGCTTTGAGTGCAGTGTCCACAAAAGTGCTATATAAGTGTAAGCAATTATTGTTGTCACAACAGAATTCACTATTGTCTAGGCTCCCCCAGACCAGCGAGTAGCTGTGATCAACTCCTGGCAGAGGCTGAGCAGAGCGCCACCCATCACACATGACCTACGCAAAGGACAAAACGCAAACAGAAAATGTTTGATTAGCAAGATAAAAACAGAGTGCCACGCATCAGATAACTTCTTAGTCACACAGCTTGGTGACAGACTGAACTGAAAGCTTATTTAAAAGGATCTAATGGTCTGAGAACAGTAAATTTGATAATAGAAGTGTGGAATGTGCTGTTTTATCAACTCCTCCTTCTGATTTGAATAGGAAGAATAAACACTGTAGCCTTATACCAGCTTCCTAGCTGTACTCTGGCCAGGCCCATATAAACGCCCAGTCTTCAGTGTCACTCCAGAGTCAAGAGCAATAGAAGATGACAAGCCAGTGGCAACTCTTCTGTGTTCTCCTCTCCTCAGCTCTCCTAATCATGTCGTCAGCACCTGCAGCAGCTCTAGAAGATGCTGATCCCAACAGCCCAGAAGTCCAAGACTCTGCTGCCTTTGCCCTGGAATCATTTAATTACTTCAACAAGGACCCCTACCTCTACAAAATAACCACTTTCGAGTCCGTGAAACAGATGGTAAGTACTTTTTTAAACTGAGGTGCACCTGAAAACTGCTTATGATGTTTCATGAAACATTCTAGATGGTATTTTTGATTTTCTAAGTCAGGCTTTGACTACGTTATCTTCTTAGGAAGCAAATCTCCCTCTTCAAAACCAAAACCTGCCAAGTCAGTAAAAATTATATTCGAAGCCAGAAAGAACTATAACTTCTAAAGCGTAACTTCTGACGGTATTTGTTTTTGCTCAGCTGTGGCAGCACAGCTCTTCAAAATCTATTTATTTAATGGTTTTGCTTGTTTGCAGATTTCAGCTGACCAAAGAAATCAGTGTCATAGATGCAGAAGAAAGCACTAATTTAATACAGTGCATTATCACATCAGGCAGCACATTTAAATACATTATTATGAAGCTAGGTGGACAGTTTAAAAATTCTTGCCATAAAAGCTGAAATAATGTTACTATTTTGCTTAAAGACATGGCGCCCTGCCATGCACAGTCCATGACCCTGTTACATATCTCCACATGTGTCTCAGGCTGTGGGTGGAATGCGGTATGAGATGGATGTCCTGGTGAAGAGATCACAGTGTAAAAAAGGGGAGGAAACAGGCATGGACTCATGCGAATTCTTCACCTCACCTGAAGATGCTAAGGTAAAATTCGTTTTCAGTTGTTTTTCCACTTTCTTGCAGTTCCAATCCCAGTGCAGTGAAAATGGCCGCTTGGGGCTCTCATATTGGACAGGCTTGATGTCTGTCCAGGGTGTGGGAGATGTCAAGGGCAGCCAGATTGGCTTGACAAGGAGTTGTTATTTGTTCTTGCGCAGAATATTAGACTTTAGACTGTTGGCGGTTTTCCAGTGTGATAGTCAATATCAAAGCCTTTCTTTACTTTGTAAATCACCTGGACTCTCTGGAGTCACATGATCTCATAAATGTTTTACCCCACATGATGCAAACAAACTCATCTGTGTATAATGAACAGTGTCTGCATATGAAACAACATATTGACTTTTTAGTTTGAAGCTACTTTTCTCCCTTTTTTCTTAAGGTTTTTAGCATTCATGAATAATTTGGATTGCTTAAATCTGGAGTGCCAATTCTCTTCTTTCTCCTGAACGGCACTGCCAGTGCCAAGTTGCTTAACTCATTGCTGTGGCAAGCATGCCATCATGGGTGGGACAAAGACTGAGCACACTTGCCCTTGAAATGCCTGCAGTTGTGCTGCCAGACACAGTGCCGTAGAGAAGAGTGGGGGAACTGCTTGGAGGAGTAATGCAGCTCTTTGCTGACGACACATTCAGCTCACAGGCACCCTGGGGAACTCAAGTGCACCCAAATCAGGAAGCACTTGGCAAAAAGCACACAACAGCCCAGGGAATCCTGGGTACAGCTGCCTTATGGCGTAGCTTGCAGTACATTTAATATGGTGTGTTGCTGGACAACCGCTTCAGGATAAACCTGTGTTTCTTTTCAGAACACTGAAATTTAGATCAGTAGATAAAGGGTTTTTATGCCCACACCGTAGCAAGCACCTATCTCTTGAGTGGTCTTTCTGAGCTTTTATCAGTCATCAAACTCAGATTCTACTTCTGAGAAAGAAAAAATGTAGGAAAGTTAGGTCATGGTTTTGTCTCATGCACTGCACAATCTTTTAGACTTACACACCCTGAACTTCTTCCACGTATAAACAAGCACTTTTATCAGCACAGTCATGGGTGCCTTTGGGCAGAAAAAGCTGCTCTGAATACAGCTCATTGGAATAACAAGAATGAGTCTGCAACTAGAAGTGGTGCTTGAAGACTCTGAACAGACACCTGTGTGAACAACCTAGTGAACAAACTGCTCTGACTGCGTTTGTGGAGAGCCAGATTCTATTAACTCACACACTGTCTTAGGTTTTAGATTTCTGCCTATAGCATGTTTGTTTTGGTAACTCTATGCAAATAAGGATCAAGTCATCTGAATTTTGAAATTGTGTGTAGAAGGAAAACCAATGCGACTTAAAAACATGACTTACAACACATAATTTGGTCTGGCAGGCCGTAAATGTGCATATTTCCTGCAAATAGTTTTCCTAAATATACAGGTACCTGCAAGAATAAAGGAAACAGTTGAGGGAAACAAATGAGGGATACAAAGTGTATAGAAAGCAGGTGCTTTCACACAGGTGTGATATCTGATTTCATTAAGCAATTAGCACCCCATCATTGTATTGGACAGGCTATGTTGCCCATTATTTTGGCTACCATGTCTGAGAAGCAAACATCTCAGTGACTTTGAGAGGTGATTGTTGGGGCACATTTGGCAGGAGTTTCTGTGACGAAGACTGCTCAACTTGCTGATGTTTCACAAGGAACAGTGCCTAAGGCCATATTGACATGGAAGTCTGAGGGAAAGACGTCAGCAACTAGGGGAAATTGTGCATGCCCCTCAACTGGTTCAAGATGTGAGGAAAAACAGACAAGCAACTCTGAATCGGCTCACCTCTAATGTCAATCTAAGGTGTGAAGTTTCATCAAGTACAATCCCTCGAGAACTTAACATAGACAGATAGAATGGTCAGGTTACTGTGCATAAGATCCTTATTACACCTTAAAGTACAGTTCTGTGAGTACTCTGTGAGTAACGTGGTGCAAAAAACACAGGCATTGGTCTCTTGACCAGTGGGAAAGAGTCGCATGGTCAAATGAGTCTTCCTTCACCCTGTTCTCAACAAGTGGCCGAGTACATGCGGGGAGCACGCCAAAAAAACCCTACAGACTTGTGTCTCGTTTCTTACAGTGAAGGGTTCTGGTGGCTCTGTAACGGTGTGGGGTTCATTTTCCTGACATGGTTTAGGTCCATTCAGCCTGTTAGAGGGCAAGCAAAATGCCAATAAATAGAAAGCCACTCTGAGGGGCATTGTGGTTCATAGTTCATCTTGTGGTTGAAGCATTTCTAACCTGATGGGAGTGGAATCTTCCAGGATCACAGGGCACGAGTGGTCACTGAATGGCTGGATGAACATGAAAGCGATGTAAACCATATGCCATGGCCATTCCAGTCACCAGATCTCGACCCAGCCGAACACTTCAGGGAGATTCTGAAGAGGCTTGTTTTCCACCACTATCATCAAAGCACCAAATAATGGAATTTCTTGTGGAAGAATGGTGTTGCATCCCTCCAATAGCATTCTAGACACTTGTAGAATCTTTACCAATCTTTTTCACAATGAAGCCGTTCTGGTGGATCATAGTGGCTCAACTTCCTAATGAGAAACTTTATGTCGGTATGTCCTTTATTTGGGCAGTTACCTATAATTCCCTCAACAAAAGACAACAGCAAAAACTGAGTATATTTCCAAGATAATGCGATAACATCTATGTTTCGCTTTGCCCCATTACTGATATCCAGTATGAGTATGAATTTGAATAATCTTTTATATTAAAGTGAACTGAACTGTTGCACTGTTTGAAGTAATTTACCTTAAAATAACAATGTAAGATCTACAGCTTGGTAGGCTATTTTACTCCCAGTTTTAGACAGCTAGAAGGGAAAACCTTACACCTTAGGTATGTTAAGTTAGTTATGTTCAGTGTAGTAACTCTTGTGCTCTAGTCATGCAAAACCAGCAGGTCATTGTCATAACATGTAAGTCATAAATCTGCTTTGTTTTTATTGATGAAGAGCTTGTGTTCTAATAACTCCAAAACAAAGGATCCTTTCAGAAGTTAGTTATTTTTCCATGACATTCTATGCAGAAAGCTGTGGTAGAACAAAAGAAGAATAAGCAACGTCTTGAAAAGTTTCTCAGACATTTCCTGTGACTTTCTTTGGTTTGTCATATACAAAAAGATATTGTTGGCTTGCAGATGAAGACGTTTCTTAATGACATCTGCCAGAGGCAGATTCTCAAAAACAGAACATACAGCAGTCACTTCTGTACACATTGCAGATTTCATACCTCCAGAGTATGAAAGGAGGTATGAATAAAACCATATTCATTTATTTTGGTCTTTCAAAATAAATGAATATGGTTTTAGTATTAATTTGAATTTTCTTATAATTCTTATATATCATTATAATTCTTTCATCACTTTTTCATAAATTGTTTTTTATTGTTGAGGGAAATGTCTATATGTTGTGAATTCTAATTTTTACTTCAGAAGAGAATTTGGTGTGCTCCCTTGCAACTGCGTTTTTCTGTCATCAGGATGACACTAAAAAGGGAGAATTATATTAAATAAATATGTTTATTCAGAATGAAATTTCCTTTTTCCTTTTATCTGGACTCAAACGCTGTGAATCTCAGCTTGCATTTTATAAGTAATGTCTGTGGGTTTACTAGGTGCACAAAAGGGGATAATATTCAGCAAGTGCTTTACAAGAGCTTGATCTACTCCTACAAGCATTGTTTAGTCCACTGAAACAAGGAGCCAAAATATAGTACAAGACTAAGAAAAGGAAGTGAGGTCTGGGTGCTGGACAGAATCATGCCTGATGTCTTTATGTCTTTATGTCTTTTGCAGGTGTTCAGGTGTCATTTTGTGGTCTTGAATGTCCCCTGGAAGAATCAGAAGGTGCTGATTAAGAGTGAATGCACCCCTGTGCAGAAGTGAATCTCAAGAGTTCTCTAATTGCAATTATCTGCACAAATCTGGATTAATCTCCACTTAATTCCAATTAATTCTGGATTAATCTCCACTTAATTCCAATCAGTACTAAATACAGTACTGCATGCTCTCCAAACTGGGATTCACAGGCAGCCAGAAGCTGATGTTTGGAAGAAGGCTTTACCTGCTTTGAGTCTTAACATTTTAATGAATTGGTGAATGACATTGGTGCCATTGATATTGGGTTTACTAATTCTGGTGTTTAACTGTATGATAGAACAGTGCAGAGTGTAATCATTCATAGCTGTTGTCATTTTCTCAACTCTTCATTCTGTAATCAAATGAAACCTAAGTAAAAAAAAATAAAGAAAAGTAATTCCTGTAAAACAAAAAAAACAACAACAACAAATACTTTACTGTATGTTTGTGGTGACAGGAGGCTCAGCAGAGACAAGATAAACACAGAGCCAGGTATAAAACAGGGCTTCAGGACCAGTGGTTCACAAAAGGACATTAAATGGACTGAGTGCTCTTCTTTTTTACTTTAAGGTTTCTCACCTAGCATAGGATTTCACTTGGCACACCCTAGTTCATGTTTGACAGTGATCAGGACGTATCCTGTTCCTTGTCTATATTTCAGATTGCTTTATGGGCAGTGTATGCAGTTCTATTTCTCCATTCCCACAGGAGTCAGTGGTTTTGATCTTTGTTCACCCATGTGTATCTCGATTGACAAAGAGCAACATTGCTCCATCTCCAGCCATGGTATAGCTTTAATAAGATGACTAGTGATAGTCCGTATGTTTTCAAATTTCTAACATAAAGTTCAGTTTTTTGTTCATCGATATGTTTGATGAATTCCGATACTTCTGATGAGAGGACAGTAGCAGGACAGTACCTGTGAGTCGATCACAGGACACACACACACCCTGGACAAGAAACCAGTCCATCACAGGGCTTGGAGCAGAACTGCATCCTGGGCAGGATGTTGTTTGTCTATATTTGTATAAAATAAAAAAGAATCAGTCATACTTTCTGGAGGCTCAAGCTAAATAGGAGATGCACGAAAACGATAACACACACTCAAGCCAATGTTTATTTCAAGTATAGGAAGGAAACATGCCTGTATATTGTATATGAGCTCAAAGTTTCTTGTTGGTCCTAGACACAAACCACTAGATGGCTCCATTTGGCTAAAATATAACCATAATGATGAAACTACATGAGGAAAAGACATAAAGCACTTAGAATCTTGTGGATATTTGCCTGGTGTGTGCATATTACCTAAACATATCATAAAACATCACAGTTGAAGAGTGGACATCAGGGTGTTATCAGTCATGTCTAGCTGCCTGGGTGAGAATGCAGCTCTAAATGAAATGAAACCCAGCACAGCCTGTGATGCTGTGTGGAGTTCTGTAGCACAAAAACATGCCCCATATTCCACAAATACTTACTGTATGAAATGCCACTACATTTCAGGTTAAAGAAAGTTAAGGGATTTAGCAGAATTAATGTCTAAATAAACAATAAAGGACAATTGTACTGTCCCTCTCCTTTCATTGTTGTGATGTTTGTGTTTGGAAACTGCAGCTGACTTTGTCATGAGCTGTTCTGAGGAACTGAGGAAATTTGCCCAACTCTGGTTGATAGCTGCTGCCTGTGGGCTTTCTCTATCCCTACAAGAAAGAAATGTCACTGGAAACAGCAATACAAACATAGAGGGCTGGTATGAATGGTTTCTCATTTATTTTCCAGTAATTAACCAGCGATAATCTAGCTGAGAACAAGATAGGCAGAAGTGACTGTCTACGTTTAGCTCACAGTGTTCATTACTGAGCTGTAGGCTTGGAGAGGTTTCATGATGGGAAAGAATATTAACAGAGAGGTGCTGCACTGCCTTCATTTTGGCATAATTTGGGGTGGAGGGTTTAGTTCCAAAAGAAAGTCATGATGACTTCAGGAATTGTAGGGTAGCTGCCGTTGAAAGCACAGGTGAGTCATCAAGGGGCGGAGTCGTTTCATTCAGGAGAGTCACATTCTTCGGATTCTCACAAGGAAATCATGGAATTGGCTGCACTTGGTGACTTCAGCTCCCTATAAGATCGGTTCCTGTGGATGAGCCCTTCTATGAACCCTCAAGATTTTATGAAGAAGAAAGCATAGTAGGATAACATTGAGAGCAGCCTTGGTCATTTTCTGGGTTGGGATGCTGGTAAGTAAGAAGATGGTTAGTGAGTGCACCTGGCCAACTGGAATTGACAGAGAGGTTATTGCCATAGCTACAGTATCTAGGCAGATGGTTATGGGTTTTGGAAATGTATAAGGTTATAGTTCAAGTGGAAACCCTGTGGCTATGCTACCCAAAATAAAAGGGGGGCTGTTAGTGATGATAGTAACAAAATAATCAGGAAAATGAACTAGAATTTATCCAGGAGGTTACCAACAACATTCCCAATATTAGAACCTGAAAAGTCTTCTGTTCCTTTTCAGGGAGGAAACAGTGTAATCTCAATGGAGGAGGATGTTTTTTCTCCTCTCTAATGGAGATTAGAATAGGCCATCCAGCAGTATTGTACCAATGGGCAAACTGGTGCTCACAACTGTGCTGGTAGTTGGATATTGAGGAAAAGGCAGGGTTTTGGCACAGCTAGCTATGCTTCCTGAGAATTCGCTTGCTCTCTCACTGAGCAGTGAAGTGGTGAGCTCTTGTTACTGTGTGAGGGTTCAAAACTCTTGTTGGGGAGGAAGGGAACAAATGTCAATGGTGTCAGCAATTTCTTCCAGTCCAGAATAAGGTGTGGAATGGCCACATGTGAGCCCCTGGGTAGGCAGTGATGTTGACTCAGATCCAGTACATTTTAACACTGCATCTATCCAGCACAGGTGTATGCTGTTATGTCCATCCAGTTGAAGTAAAAATATTTTTTTACTTACTTTCACACAGCACCCCTTCAGTGAGCTAAATCTCAGAAAAGGGTATCTGGGTAAAGAATGGGGGAAAAAGTCTTAACATTACTTTTACATTAAAGATTTACATTTCATTTCCTTTCTTTTTTCCAAGCCAGTGTTTGCATAGTATTGTATGGTATTTGTACTGTTAAGGCCACCATGTGCAGTTCTTTTTCTCCCAAATGATCCTCTTAAATGGGGGGTGGAGAGAGGAACAACTTAGTTGTCTTCCAGCAATTAATTTTTAATTAAGCCATTTGAGGGGGAAAATAGTTTCCCAAAATAGTGTTTTGAAAAAGCATTGTGTAATCCTCTTTAGTTGTGCTTGTGTTGGGATTTATTTTAATGGAGGTTGAGATGATGGAGAATCACTTGAGAAGTCTAATTTTTTCCAAAATACTTAAGACTCAAAGCACAACCAGAACTGCCTGGCATCCTCATTGCTCCAGAAATACTCTTGTCTGTTTGAAGGATCTCTGCTGGATATGACCAGGTAGGTAAATTTTAAAGAACTGAATAAATTTGCGTAGCTTCTCTTGTTTGAGCTCTGTAGAGTATTTTGTCTGGGGGAGGGGGCAGAGTAATGCATGAATCCTTGAAGAATGACTTCATCTCTGTAATGCTATTATCTGTCAGGCTGCTGCATCTCTATGGAGGAACTACTGTGTGCTGGCAAAGGGGGCTGGGTGAGAAGATGACAGGGAGTTACAGAAGAGGGGTGGCTAGGGTCTTTAACTTTAATAAACTGCACTGAGGCAGTTTGGAAAGGCCTTTGATTTTTGTTTAACAAACACCCTAACCTTTAATGTATCACAATATTTAGAAGCCTAAGGTTAAGAGTTCAAGTAGGTAGCTGTGTAGGCTACAAAGAAACAAGTAAAGGCTTATTCCATACTGAAAAGAGAAGAAAGGAAAACGTTTTGGTTGTGGAGCCTTCTTCATGTGTGAGACTTGCACCCGAAGAAAGCTCCACAGTTGAGACATTTCTCTTTTCAGCATGGAATAAGGTTAGGATTCTCTAGTTTGATTCCCTTCCTGTTTGCAAAAAGTAAGAAGGGGCATATCTCAAGATAACACTAGAGGAAAGCACTAACACTTGTGGTCACATTTTGGGGATTTCAAAAGCAAGGTGAACTGTGGACCCTCCACTTGAATTGCTTTACAGGTAACGGGGACTCCCCTCCATCACCCCCCAGTGCATAGCAGTGCAGAAAAAAAGCTTAAACTGGATCAGTTACTGCCATAAAACTAGGAATCATGTAGGTAGCACTTTGCTGCAGTCTTTTTTTTTTTTTCTGCTATCCCTCTGACCCACTCAAATTTCCAGGTTCCCCAGCCCCTAATTACTTACTCTTTTTATAGTAGTTTTCTGGACACTCCAATCAAAATGCTTTACAGGTAACCACCACCACTGTGTCACTCCACCTGAGTGATGTAGGAGCATGACTAATAAAGCTAATTCTTGGATTACATAGATAGGGGTTATTAGGAGGCTATGAATGAAGGTCAGGGGGAGGTTTGGCTGGGACACTGAGGTTACACTCCTACTCTTTTTGAGAAACTCCCTGTGAAATACTTAATTATCACAGAGTCAGGACCTCGATTTTACGTCTCATGCGAAAGACTGCGCCTGTTTACAGTACAGTGTCCCTGTCACTATACTGGGACATTAGGGCCCACATGGACTGCAGGCCCCACTAACATGTCTTTGAGCAGCAACCTTAGTGTTTCCCAGGAGGTCTCCCATCCAGCTACTGACCAGGTTCACACCTGCTTAGCTTCAGTGGGTTGCCAGTTGAGTTGCAGTGATATGGCTGCTGGCTAGAAGAATTAAATGATCTCCTTGTTGGCAATATCTCTAGTCTTATGACTTTTTTTTTTTTTATTTAAGTACATGCCAGAAGTACACACTTCAACTCTGGGTGTGAATCTTGACAGGTTTTTTTACCTGTTCATTTAAAAACATCTCACAACAATCATATTGGAGACCATGCTTTGATTCTGGTCTTAGCAAAGGCCAGCTCTCCTTTAAAATCTCCTTTGCATTCAATGTGCAGTCATGTAAAGAACTGGAATCCATTATGGTTTACACGGAAAATGAATAAAGCAAAAATGTATTGACCTTCAGTTTGTATAACTGAGTAAAAGGAAATCTGGTGGTTGCTGAAAAGCAAGGGGAAACTGATACAGTGGAAAATAGCCACACAGGTGTTTTCTGTTTTTTTTTCGTAGAGCATTTTCTCTGCTGTGCTGGTCTGCTTGCCATGTAACCAGCTATCCTTGAGCTCCCATTGCAGGGCAGGCGGGGGTGGCTCCTCCATATATGTGGCATTTGTACTGTAACGTTCTTGGGCTTGTGCCCTCACTGCTCCCACCCCAGTTTGTCCCTCTCTGGATGGCCTTGAACCCAGGTCTCCGGTGTCCCTCAACAGGGAACTTGCAGGCTGAGCTAAAGGAGACCCAGGTAGCCAACTTCCCTGCTATGTGCAGGGGAGGGTGCTGACATCGCTGTGCTGCAACTGGCTCATACAACCTGTAGGTCATGCGTTCACTACAGTACCATTTCAAACTATCCTGTGCCCTATTAGAAACTTGATCGTAGAGCACGTCATCCTACAAGCTCTCTCTGATCACTCTAAATGGGCAAGGCCTGTATTAGTCCTAGTTTGTGCCACCCGCCCCCCGAGCCTGTGGCACCAATTTTGATCAATTGGAGAGAGTTTTCGTGTGGACGGGGAAGTGCAGCATTTCGAAATGGCCAAAACTTCTTGTGAATACAAAAAAAGGAGGCTGTTAAAAGAGTGGGCACTCCAAAAACAGGCTCATCCTTAAAATACATTGCCTCAGAATCATGTTTAGTTGGTAAGGATGGTAAACTGCCAACATAGTCCTCAAATTGCTGATTCAGCTAGCAACTTTGCTCCGTCACAAGCAACGGTGGATGTAGAAGGTTCTTCTTCCAAGGATGGCATTAGCAGCAACCGTCTTGGCCAAAACACTCACCAGCCGCAAATGTTATAAGCTAAGGAAAATTTGAATGATCTCTGTAAGTGGCTGACAACAATTAACCAAGGAGCTGGAGACATTTTGATACAGTCGGCTCAATTGTCTGTGCGTCATAGTTGGACAAATGGGGAGAAACTGGAGAGGCCATGGCTCATCTATTCAGTTAGCAAGGATATTACTTGCTTTTGTTGTAGACTTTTTGGTGTCGGTAAGAGAATCAGCTCTGGCAAAAGACAGTGTCAAATATTAAGGGGGGGGAAATGTCAAACATCTTGAGCGCTCACAAAGTTCAATGAGCGAGTAGAATGTTCTTCGTAAATAGGAAGAGCTGGACACAAGGTTGGTGTCTCAAAACACCGTAGATGAGCAAAATCAATGGAAAAGATTAGCCAGGACAATCCATTAGCAAGTTTTGTGACGTTTGGTAAGCCTAGTAAAAGTAATGGCCATGCAAAATTATAGCATTCCATGGTGGCACAGATGGACGGAGCATAATGGCAATTTCCTGAAACTTGGGATGATGGGCCTTTTTGATAATGTTATGGCTGAACACATTTAGGAGAGTGACTTTGGTGAATGAATTCAAAAATGGTATCAT